ATGTTGGCTACATCTCTTTATAGGACATGCAGAAGAGCAGCTGTTACCGTAGGGATTGTAGGGATTTCTTGTGAAAGTCGGTAGCAGATGTCACCATCTGCTTCTGCCCTTTCAATGAAATAGAGGCAAAAGGGAGACTGAAAGCTTGTTAAAAAAAAAAAAAAAAAAGTAACAACAAAACCCATAAATTCAAAAGATATCCAAACATATTTACAGCGAGTGGGGGAACCCCTTACCCCCTCCCTCCTGGCAAAACTGTGATCCAGATGCACAATAAAAGCAAAGAACACTCCCTGTTCTCTTTAAATCATGATTTCTTTTCTTTTTAATCTTACTACGTGTACTTTGACAACCTTCAGCCTGCAATCTAACACCTAGCCATTTCCTCCCCGGCTGAAAGAGATCACAGAAATGAGCAGTTGTATCCTTTCCCTCTGGCTATACAGCAATGGTCTGATGACAACTGCTTTACCAGGGTTGGTATCAGACAAACAAAAATTCCCTACTGAATGATCTACACAATGATGTCATGTGTGGAGGCAAAGTATTTATTACTTAGGGAAAAAAAAAAACCCACCAACAAAAACCAAACAAAACTTCTGTTGCATTGTGTCAGGAAACATGCTGTACAAGTTTGTACATCTTGGCAGATAAAGATCAGATGAGGCAAGCAATGAAGTGGTTAACCAAATCAGAAAGTTATCTCAGACATCCAAAGGCACATCTTGTAAACCTGAGAAAACTCCTTACACAGAACTGAGGAGAAAAAAAGGGCTTGTCTGGGAAGAAACAAATGACACTGTCAACAAGTAGTTTGCTTTCTCACTAAGAAAAGAAGGTATTAGCGAGATCCGGAGTCCAACAAAAGAATAGGAATCTTTCCAATGGGGTAAAAAGGCTTGGATCGAGCCCCAGCTTTCCTAAAAACTAGACTTGCTGATTGCATCACTCTTCCACTGTCAAAACCGTCATCTCACTGAACTGAAATACCTTTCCAGTATTGCTATAGGGCAGACATTTCCACACTGGTAATACTGGGAGCCACATTCAACCACCACCAGTAACTTGCCTGCCACCATCTCCCCTATTTGGTATGCCATAATGTTGTCTTGAAAAGAAAAAAAAAAAGAAAAAGAAAAAAGATGCAGCATTCTGGAAAAGGTTTTCAAGTTTTCTTTTGTTTCTTCATTTTTGGAAACAGAGGCTGCCCTGTAGCTTACTACTACTGTAGAGAGCATTTTGCTTTCCAGCTAGTGTCAAATTTAGACAATAAATAAGCTTCAGAAATGGAAGATCACGTCCTCCTTTGGCATTGCCATACATCAGGAAACACTTGAGCTATACCTGGATAAAAAGTGATGAAAGTAACTGAAGAAACCAGCATTAGCAAGGTATACTGCTAATACAGGTCTTTTCCCGAAAGCAAGAAAATTGTGCTTATCTTACATTACCAGACCATCACTGGAAGTATTATGCCAGACCCTCAGCTGGCATAAATCAACATGACCCTATTCACATCAGTGCAGCTGTGTTGATTTATGTGAGCTGAAAAGTATGTACTGGTTAAAAAGTGACTATTTCATCTTATAAAACTATAAAAGTGACTAAGAAATGAAAAGTAGTAGAGTATAATACAAAGAAAAAATTAGAAAGTACTACAAAAAGGCTCAAAGTAGATGTATATTTTATTAAGATTAGTCAAACATAGCCACTCATTTATTCCATATGAGATTTTAGATAATATCCTCTGTTGTTACACACACATATATCTCTGGAGTATCAACACAAGTATTTGTGCAACTTAATAATGCTGTACTGTTCCCAAATTAAGACGTAAGGCTCAGACAGTAGGTTCAACCAACCTGGAATTTATCACTGGTGGTTTTTTTAAAGTCACTGTGGCTGTCAGAACATGAAACATCAGACTTAAAAGCAAGCCCACACAGCGAACTTAAGTGTTCAGAATTGCAGTATGGTGTCACATCTTAAGAACTACTCCTGTTACAGCCTTTCTCTTAGAGAGCAAGATAAAAGTAGAAAATCAAATTATCTTCTCAAAGCCAGCACTTCTCTCAAGGCTTGGTAATTTTGAGAAATAGGAAACCTCTCATATTAGACTTAAGCACTCTTTACCCTTATGAACCCTCTGTAGACTTCCCTATTATGATACAGGCTACATGAGATTAGCTACTGGTGCCACTTTCTGAGTTAAAACCGGGAAGGCTAAGGAGAAGAATTGGTATTCTGAAATAAGAGGTGTATATTCCTGAATTCCTTTCTCAGGGAAGCAGCTCTTGAGTGCATCACTGCCCCAGCAGTATAATATCTGAACACCATATGAAGAGACATCACGAAGCAAACTCTACAATTGTCTGTTCAGTTCAGCCTCAGTGACCAGCTGCTAACAGCCACTTGGCAGACAACTGCTGTTCATCACCCTTCACCACGGGTACTGGCACTTCAAATACAAATGCTCTGTTCCATCACAGTCCACAATGCGGGCTGCCAGGTACCAAAAATGCATTCTGTTCATCCTTGCTATTGCCTTACAGTGTAACATACCTCATGGATCCCTGCCAACAAGAAATAGGAGGATTTGTCTCTTCACAGTCTTTCCCTATAAATACATCCAGTCTAGGAAGCTTACAGAAATTTTCGGAAGTACCATTAACACTTCAGATAAGGGGAAAAAACATGCACTATCTGCCTGGACGGATCAACTCTGCACCTCAGCAAGAGGCGCTGTCACAACCTTCTGCTCCCCCGGCATTAGTTTTTTGTGGACAAGGTGCACTTAGTATCACCATCGATGGGATGCTGTATTTGATCAATTCAGTGTAACACTAAACCAACTGGAATAATGTCATGTAATATTGGAATATAATATGTATTGGTTTATTTAGGTATTCCCAGTTTCTTAAATCAGTAGAATAAAACAAAAAAGGCCAAACCATAAGGCATTTTAAAACTTCCATGTATATTACCATCTCTGCACAGGAATTAGAAATCTCAGTTAAATCCTCTTTTCCTCCCAAAGTGCCTTTGCAGTCTTCAAAAACATTAGGAAAGTGATGAATGGCCATTAAGAAACAACCTCAAAACTACTTTTCTACCATTTTCTTCTCTTAAATTTTCAGACTTTCCCCCATAAAACACTAAGCGAATGACAGTGGGCTGTGGTTACAGTTGCTTTCGTGGCATGTACTCCTAGCCAGGCAAACGGAGCCAACCAAAAGCAGTGGGCTGTGTTTACAGTTGCTTTCGTGGCATGTACTAGCCAGGCAAACGGAGCCAACCAAAACCATTTCTAAGACAAGACTGCCTGGCATAAGGGGCTTAAAAGTGCACCCAGCACATCCACACAACCAAAAGCACAGCCTGAGCCTTCAAAGCAGAGGCTTGGGTTCTCCACAGGGACACTAAGTGTGTTGAAAAGAGGCTTCGGATTGGCAGCTCCATTGCAGCAGTGTCAAAGCTGGAACAAATGTCAGAGGGATCAAAATAGCAAAGAGCACTGAAGTTTTCCTCTTTCAAAATGGCACGAGCCTATAGAGAAGCAGCACAAATGGTAAATGTGTTCCTATAATTTCCATCTCATCCTGTCGCTCCTTAGTGTTATTAGAAAACATGCCAAGCTAATATTTGTCATTGCACATTCCCTCATTCTTTACGTTGGTCAGAATGTTTTAATTGCATAATGATAACTCAGAGCAATTTGGACATCAGTTTACAGTGCACCAAGACTACATTGCCGTGAACTGTTTAAAAGAAAGCGAAGTATTAGGGCTTCTAAATGAAACAATCTAGTGAATTTGATCATTGTTTAATTTTGAACTTGTACTGTCTGCTCCAGTGAAGTGATGCACCAGCTTCTACCACCAAGTATTTGATGCACCACTTACTGTAAATGCTGCCTACCCAGTGTACTACGAGGTTTCGCAGCTGTGACTCCCAAAGACTGAAACTGATATTTAAATCCTATTGACAGCTACTCCTTTTTTATCTTTTTTTTTCTTTTTTTTTTTCTTTAGCAGAGTTGCAATTACAGTTTATTTTCTATTTGTAAGTATGATTAAAATTATTATATTTTGTGCCAGGCTATAATTTATATAATTGCATTCCTGTAAAACTTGAATTTATTTTTCATTTAGAAAGAGACCACAATAAAAGGCTTCTGCATGAGAATCCAGTTTTCTGTATTAATTTAAAATTTAATTTTAAAGTGTTTTCTACAGTCGCAGTACTTTAAGGGCAGAGGAGAACTGTCATTGTATAAGAGACTTTTAATCAACCGTGGACTCTTACTCAAACTAAATACCAGTATTAATTGTTCATAAAGTACTGAAGTAAAGAAAAGGGATGATTAAGTGGTATTTAAGCTGCATTGCTATTAAGGATTAAACAGAAAGGCATTTTAGAGCCATGTGTTAAAAGCCATCTTGTCAGAAGGTATGGGCCATAATCCACAAATTTTTCAAAATACACCAGGCTGTACTCATTAGTCTTATGAATTTAGAGGGTCTGTTATTTCTGCCTCTTAATTTGACATTTATATGCAAATAAAAATCTTGCATACAAGCCATACATGAAATTGCATCTGTTATGCAGTTGCTCACCTAAATGTTTAGAAAACCTGCCTTTTAATGTGTCGCTTTAACATTTTATCCTTAACTTATTATCAGGGGGGAAATAAAACTCAGGGATGTTACGATGTTATTGCAGTTTCTTGAGAGCACTGACACACCAAATCAGATACACAAACCTGCCTTTGGCATCAGAAGGCTACAAAATGGAATATGATGCTTGAAAGGGAAAGCTGCTAATCTCCAGGCTCTGGGACTGCCAGGAGGGCTGCATTAAATGCCACAAGCAGGTTACAGGTCACAACACCCTCCCTACAGAATTTTGGCAAACTGAAATGAAACCTGTGGATGCATTGCATACGTCTGACCGGAAAGACGAAACAAAGTTGGGAACAGTTTTACATGGATTTTTCTAACCTCTCCTGGGGCTTTCGTGATTGAAGAGGATGCCGTTCACAGCAAAAAGATTGTAGGCCTCTCTGAAGTTCACCACAATCCAGTAGGCATACAGTTTTGCTGCCCCTAAAAAGTAATTTTAAAGCGTTATATATATCCGCTCTGCCCATACACAGCTCAGAGACACACATACACATCTCTCTCATATGCAGGGTAAGTCCACGTTTCCACAGCGGAGAGCATTAGAATTTGATTCATTCCTTGTATGTGTCACATTTCACATGGAAAATACATCCAGCAGCTGAACGGGAAAATACTCCTTTTCCGTGCAGCCTGAACTGGCCAGGAAGTGTTAGGGCACTTTCTCACTTGTTTTCTTATGCACACTCAAGCATAGCACTTTTCCTTTTACTATATAATTAACACAGCCAGAGCGTGTGAAATATGCCACTGTAGTGACCTCTGCTAATAAAAAAAAATTACTTTGGAGGAATAAAAGTGAAAATCTGGTGCCTTAGCACTCAAATGGATTTGAAACTTTATCACCAAAGGCCTCCATGCACATTGCTTTAATAAGTGTTTCAAATTTCATGCGAGTTCATGAAGGAAGAAGCGAGCTCTTGGGAGTTTTTCATTTAGGCAACAAAAAATATGAAACCTTATCACTTCAGTGGTCTCTCACAGCCCTTTGTGAAGGAAGAGCCTCCCTTCCCCTCACCCTCTACCTCTGAGCTGAATGAACACGGTCTTGTGAAGTGAGATGCTAGTTTCCAACCCCCGGGCAATAGCAGCAAATACTTTTTATATAGTAATTCATAAAGGTATGCCTCTCAACATGTCTAGTCACTTTAGGTCTATCGTCATTCTAATCTCACACCCAAATGACTTCAGCCCTGAGACATGAGAAGGGAGAACAGACAGACAGACACTATACACAAGCATCAGCGGTCCTCACCGTAAGGCGATCTTGGGTAAAAAGGGGTGGTTTCCTTTTGCGGGATTTCTTGCACTTTTCCGAAAAGTTCACTGGTGGAGGCTTGGTAGAACTTCACAGAGTTGATAAGGCCACAAGTCTTAATAGCATCTAGGAGCCGTAAAGTGCCAACCCCATCAACATCAGCAGTATATTCTGCTAGGTCAAAAGAAATCTTGGGGAGAGAAAGAAATAAAACAACATAAATTTTACTAGGGGAACCAGAACATGCCGTGATCATGTACAACCAAAGCAATACATCACTTGTCACAAACCATCTAGACACTTTCGTACAGAGTAGATGCTCAGTTTACAAAAGTACCCTCAAAGGATTTCTTAGAATAAACAAGTACTTCCATAAATAGCAGAACCAAAAGACTGGTGTTCCCTGATCTCTCTCTCAGGATTATTTTCCCATGTGAAGTAAGGGGCAAGCCTTCCCACAGGCAGAAGCATTATCAGACTCTCTCTCATCTCCACAGCTGCCAATTTTCACAATATTCACTTGGGCTTAGTATCTTTGACACACTTGAATTTGGATAAAATTGTCCAAAGTATATTTAAAAAAAATACTAGGTTAGATGGACAGCATGACTACATAAACATTTATTAAAAAACCCCACAAACTTTAAATATAGTCCAAAGTTTTGCAATTTAAAGACACATCAAAATGGAGAGAAGACTAGAAATATCTGCTATCAAATGAGACATATGAGACTCCCAACCCCACCTGACTAACCAGAGCTGTGGCTTTCAAACGGAGGTTAGGGGGATGATGAAGCACGAGAGCAAATGGTGGAGGTATCCAAAAGAAACCAGCCACATTCTCCAGCCGACATATCCTTCAAGGTATGATAATGAACTCGTGTGCGCTGCTGGGCCAAGACTCTTCTTTCTTTTACCGCTCCAGTTGCTCTCAGTTATCTTTATGAAGAGTTTGATTGTGGCACTGGCCACAAGACATGCTTGAGTCGGTTACAGAGTGTATTAATAAATATATTAATTCTATTCCTTGCAGTTGCAAAAGAAAAATAAAAACTGGGAAAAGTAAGCTGAAGGTAAGAGATGTGTTGTGACCACCCCAGTCTGCAGGCAGGAGAAAATATGCTCGGACAGGAGTTCACTCTGCTTGCTTGATGGATATGGGCTGGTCGTTTGGATGTGCCAGCAGAACTCCTGGAGTCTGAAGAACTTTCTCCCACCAGTGCCCATCACAGAGACACATTCCTCCTTCCTTCTACATCCTCCCTCCAAACCATGCTTCTGTATGGAAATTTAAAAAAAATGTTTCCTGTTTATACTGCCAACATCATAAAAAAGGGAAGGGGAATGGACCTTTAGGGCAATCTCCTCCATCGCCCTGACCCAAGGAAGAACTACTCTACCAACGTCCCCTCTGACTGATGATCGACTTTCAAGAACGAGCTCTAGAGTGATGGCAATGTTACAGTTTCTTTATATGATCTAGGTTAGTGGTTAGTGCGACACTACCAAAGTCAGATAGCACAAATCTATGATCCCCCCTCCATGACTCTTCAGTGACAGGGTAACTACTAATGGAGTAGAGGGTAAATGACCATAGCTGGACAAGTTGAGCTATCACAGTGAAAACAGTGGGAAACTTGTCGCTTGCCAGGCATTTTTTCAGGCTCTCTGCAGATTCAGATAGGTAGACCTGTATTCATTTCTCCTGTTAAGCCACTTTTCCTAGTCAGTAATCACTAAAGGTTAAGGCTTATTTACACAGCAGATGAAATAAAAGTAAGTAGATTAATTTGAATTTGCACTTATGGTTAATTCAATACAGGTATGAAATAATCTAAGTTGTGTTACTGTGCTCCAAAATAAAAATGTTCTCACATATTTTTGATCTGAAATAGCTAATGCTATGAACAAAAACAAATTTTACTTTACTTTTTTTTTTTTTTAACCAAAGTGGAAAAAAAAAGAAACCTGATACTTTGGCTTGTTAACCTGGTATGACCCAGCTGAAATTGAGCACTGATCTACTGAGAAGTGCTGAGCATTTTTCGTTTTAATCCATTTGGCACAAAGATGACAGCCACTTAAGGTCACTCAGCTTTGCTGTCAGAGTAACTCTTGGGAAAACATCTTAATGAATAGATGATACTGTCAATAATGCACTAATGAACATAAATTAGTATATTTAGCATATGGCTAGCACCTTCACATATTCACAGTAACATCCTAGCTCTCTAAGTAAAAGCAAAACATTTACTAATTGTAGCAGAACCAGGAATTTACCTATATTAAGGTATTGTTCCCAACAAATAACCCGCTAAAAACATCACCCCAAAATGCAGATCTTTGCTTACATGTTCTGCCACAAGGGTAAATGTAACTGGGGTGGTCTTAAATCAGAGATCCCAGATTATAAAACCTCTTAAGCAGAGTGAGCAATGAGCCTGCGGCAGCGGTACCAGGGACTGCTCTCCTTGGCTGATGCAGAGACCAGTTTCACAAGAGATGCTTTTCCCCATTGCCTTATGAATGACCTCAATCTTCACCTAGAAAAATCACTCCCTGGGGTGTGAGGTAATTCTGCCTCCGCGCTGGCCGGGTCTGAGCGTCCCCGAGCAGAAACCGCCAGCTTTGTGCCTGTTTGGTGGTTTTGTAATGCGGACTATTGTTCACCAGGGACAAGACTCAGACCACTAAATCCATTTCATTTTGGAGCGCAGGTTAGACTAGAATGGCATTCATGAAAATAAAAAATGGTTTCATCCACTAAAACCTCCAACACCAAAACCACAGGATGGCTAAGACACTCTGTGCAGTGTAGAGGCATTAACCTTGCAAATACAGATAAATGCACACTGGATTTTAATTTTATTCTAATTCAAAGTTAACAATGTAAAGCAGTTTTATAAAATACTGGATTGATTAAGAAGTTACAAATGAATCAAGGCAGAGCAGCAAAAACTCCTGCGTTATCCATTACTGCATTATTTCCCTCTCCTTACACACGTTACTTTGTGCAAGACCAGCAGGAAGTCTGAAGTAAGAAGGATGTGCAGTAGAGAATTGATATGCTTGCACAACACAAAAAGGACCAGGGTCTGAGTTATAGAAACCAAATATTGAATCAGATTCAATAGATGTTACTCATAGAAATAATCTTGGCTGGTGCACTGAGCTCAGTGGCACTACCTGAGAGAGTAAAAACTTCATGGAAATAACTGTAAAGGCAGGTGTAGGAAGGCTAAAAACAAGCCATGCTTTCTGAAAGATTAAACATCCAGTAGAAAAAAAAGCTTAGGTGATGAGTTTAGATGAGAGTTTTCGAACAGTCTAATTTATAATAACTGTCTTAAGTGCCTGAATTAGGAAGCTCATCTCCCTGTACACCAGTAAAGATAGCGGTGAATCAGAGCAAAAAGCCTAATGGAGACGCTCTTGACCACGCTTTGGGGAAACTAATTACACACTAGTTTAACTTAGTTACCTAAGACAGATGCTCCATTCTAACCTCAAAAATCCAAAACTATCAGCTATTGTCAACTGTGTAAAGCAAGCCACGCAAATAACTTTTTTTGAAGACAACACCAGGAGCTTTTGTAATGACTGGAGTAGGGGAAAGAAGCATCTTTGCCTGGCAGAAACTTTAAACCTGAAAGCTTTCTCCAAGAGTATTGAAGGCATGGATCCAATACTTCTTTGCCCTCTTTGGACAGACTTTGTGACAAAAAATGTAACATACCAACAAAACAGAGATTGTCTACTTGGAATATGTTAGTCTGAGTGCTCTGGCACTCCCTTCCCATGTCGAATGGGGACAGCGTGCTTTTGGATTTGTCATTGTTGATCTCTGGAGATACTGTGAAGGCATACATTTAAGGTGTGTCTGTTTATTCCATTCAATAAGTAGTGATAGCAGTGTATTATTAGTAGTGGACACAACAACACGGAGACACTTAAATCCTTGGTTAAACATTCTTGACTTCCAGGTTTTCAGTCCTGAACACCTTGCAGAATTGGCTTAAAGAACATTAAAAAGGAAGCCTTAAGTACCTGGGACTTTTATATACTGAGTATATTCAATGCTGAATTCATCCCTAATATAGTATATTTCAAATATATTCTTGGGCAAGTACAAATTTCCACAGCAAGGCTTACACATAGGATGATAAATTTTTCTTGAGAAAAGCATGGTTTCATTAGTTGTGTCCTCTTATTCTAGGAATGTTGCGATACAAATATACGGAAACACATTATGTCTCTTCTTTCAAGCAGCTCCAAGAATGACAATGAGTTTTGTGAACTGGTTTCTACCTTTTGAATTTGAACTCTCCCCTGCCCCCTGCCATTTCTTTCTTTCTTTGTAATCACCAGATTCAATCTCTACAAGAGATTTGAATTTAATGGAGCAATGTTAAATATGATGTTTCCCAACTGATCATTCAAAACCAAGCTTAGCAAGGTCTTTAACAAGATTTAAAAGCTTACTGAAAACTATCTAAATGAGAACATATGGGTCTTAGCCTCCACAAGAACAAATTCCTATCACGTCTATGAGTACTGTATACAAGCCTGCAGACTTATGACCAATGCATTGTCAACAGTGGTGATATTCCGAAAATACCTATCAATTTAGCACACACTCAGGTTTGGCTTTGCGAGATACTTCTCTATTTTGCCATTTAGAACAATCCAACAGACAGGCTGCAATCATATTACCTATTAACTTTCAATCAAAAATAGCGCGTGTGCCCGCTAGCAGAATATGCTTCAATGCTCTACCAAAGGGATATAAATAACTATTTGAAATTTCATCTCCTTCTTACAGCCTTCTCGGTTTCAGAAGATGGGATTTCTGGAAGGCTGGTGTTATAAGAGGGAAGCTTATGTGAAGCCTCAGGAGGAAATAGGATAATATAAATGTAAATTATTATTCTTTCACTGTAAAAGCAAAGGTGGCTAACCTAACTATAACATTAAAATAAGCATCTTTGCTCTCTCGACGAAACTTACAGTAGATTCTTTAGATTTATCAGAGTACAAGATACATATCAGGTCTCTTTAAGCACTGAGAAAGGTTTACACCTGAGAAGCAAATCAGAAAGTGGAAAAACTGCTCAGAAATGTTTCAAATCTCACAAGTATCACAGCGGTTACTTTTTTGTATTCTTTAAAATCAATTCTGTTTGCTTTGAA